TTAAAGGCTTCGGAATCCCCCCCATTGTAGTTAAAAAAACTGTCAAAACTAGGGCCCCCAAACAGCATCTTGCATAGGGCCCCCAAAAAGCTAGAAACGGCCCTGGCTCCTGGGCATATGATTTTCATGGGAGGGCACACAAAACCGTCATGTGCCACGGCCAGTGGCGGCGCCCATACTTGCCAACCTTCCCGATTTTCGCGGGAGACTCCCGATTTCACTGCCTCTCCCGGTTTCCTCCCGGGGTCATATTTCTCCTGCATTTCTCCCGATTTCTGACAAAATCAGATTTACTCAGGACTGTTTCCACTCGGACTTTAATACAGCTACCATTTGTTTGGTTTCCATGGTAGCGCGTCTCTTTAGTAGCGCACGCAACTGAAAGTCTGAGAGGGTGAGGAAGATAGTCACAGAAAACAGAACAAGAATCAACAACTCAACCCTCTGCTCACTCATTTCCTGTAAAATACAGGTCCAGCCCGCACATATGCTCCATCAAGGATGGTGCTTCAGGCCGCAAGGCAGTTCACTTACAACTACAATAAGCATGTTAATTTTAATCTAATACAGCTCCGGCGATCCACTAGCACACCTCCCACCCCCCTGCAACACTCCCCACACGCACATACACAGAACACCCGCGACTTCTAATGAAGGCTCGATAATCAGCTCACGGCATATAAGCAGGGGTAAAATGAAGAGATCTATGGATACATCTCTCAACACCCATATGAAACAGAACTGTAAACAGATGTTCTATTTCTTTATGGATATTTTACAAATCACTCCCCTTTTAAACTGTATTCTTGTTTTACTGTCATATGGCCTATTTCATAGCTGTTTTTCATATATTACTCTTATATTAATATCTGACATCACATACATCGTAGCACTAAAGTTCACAGTTTATTTGTAATGAAAAAAATTAAATAAATAAAAATGTTTATTTATATAAATAAAATAAAACGTGTTTATTGGGGGAGGGCAGTAATGTCAAATGGGAGGGCCTGGGACAGCCCCGGTGACTCTTGCTGGGGAACCACAGACCAGACGGGAAATTGGAAATCTTGACATTTTATACAGATCATTCATGGTTTGTGACTCACTGCTGGTGTTATGCATGCACCTCGCGGGAGCGCCCACACAGTAAAGCGAAAACTCCCAGACATTTCAATGATTTGTACGGCAAAGTACGTTTTGGAAACAATATCAACTTCCACTCTGTCTAATAAAGTATGTGCTGATGCTGATAACACCATTTGATTCAGTTTGATTGGAAGTGTCCTTACTCTAGGAACAAAGTGAACAAAGACCTCTGAAGTGAACTAAACAACAGGACTCTGGTCCTAAAAGAGGTGTTCTCGGACCGCTTGCTAGTGAACTCTGGAGCGGGTTCATCATGGTGTGAATGCAGTCAGCGCCAAACACAGGAAGCGTAGGATTTACGAGTCACAAGAACGCTGAGGTCTTCAAAAATCTTTAGCGAAAGAATGAATCAGAATGAAGTGTTGAACAGTGTCGTGTAAAGTAAAAATGCTCCGTCAACTACTAAATAAAGTCAGAGCCACCTGTCGTCAGTGAAACCTCCTCCTGACTGCAGAACGTCTCTCAATAGCCTATGTGTAGGCTAATTGTTTTTTTAACGCACATTGTCTGAATTATATAATCATATGAGCTGTCAACTCAAATCTGTTGATGATATGCTTTCCAGAGTAACAGAGGCATTAACATAACCAGCCGATGCTCCATGGTGGAGGCTACAGTAGAAATTGCTGGGATTTGCATTTGTACCCCCTTACTTTCTGACCAATCCAACCCGGTATCACGGCAAGACGTGAACATGTGATGATGTACCATGTTGGGAGACGTGAAGATGTCACGATTTCGTCCCTTCAAACGTGACAGTTACACGGTATTGTTAACCCATGTTAACCAGTGGAGAAATAACCGGAATTTGCCAAGCCAATGCAAATGCAAATGCCCCGACGGTCGGTTGTTATTGTCAATATTAATATGATAATGATTTATTTTTTAATAGTCACAGGATTACGCCGATTTTCTTGTTGCCCCAGCTGGTCGACACCTCTTTTAGCAGAAACAAAGGCTACATTAATGTATTAAATCGATGTTAATTCGTGCGTGTGGATGTGGAATTAACGGACGTGACGTTGTGCGATTGAGTTGCCAGGCAACAGCTTCGGTTCATGTTAATTTACAAACTCTTCAACTACAACCGTAGTTATATTTAAAAACACGTTAGAAGGCCTCACAAAATACTTTAATGCAAATTAAAATGTAAATGTGAAGGAATGTGTGTATAACAAAATACATCGGTGATAAACGAAACCGGAAACTGACGTAGGCAAGATCCTCAGCTCGATGATTGGATGGTTTAGCCGCAATGCATGCTGGGATTTGGTGTTTATGTGATGTGAATTCTGAAAACGTTTTTTAAAAATAAAATAATACTTTATTCCGAGTGTGCTTGCTTTTCTCTTTGAAAGTCATCACATAACGGCATTGTAATACACGGTTTGGCTGCATTAAATATTACATCTGCCGTAGTTCTCTATTTATAGAGCCCTGATGAGAAGACTTCTAGACAAACAGAAGAACTGCCGCCAAAACTGAAAACGTGACGTGGATCATAAATATATAAGCAATTAAACAACATCTTACATTTCTTTTCACATCTCCTTGCAGTATCAACACTAATTCGGCTGACTTTTATATTTGATCCAATTGGTAGATAGGCTGTATTTACACCATAACGGTGCAGAGCTGATAGGAAGGGACACCTGGTGGTTAAAGCACGTTATTGAATTGTATTATTTTATTATGATGGATTTGATATTAACGAGGCGGCAGTTAGCAGCTAGCGGCTAGCTAGTAATTATGCTAATGTACACATCAATCGTTATGTAGTATATTATGCTGTAACAGGATCTAGTGATATCCAAGCAACAGAGCTTCATTTAGCATGAAATAATTATTGCACTGTATATATACACAGTGCAATAAGCTTCTTAGTGCAATAATAAACTACAGGGACGTTAATCTAACGTCGGTAATATTAACTTTATTTAATACAACATTTACGGTACAAGATTTAATCATACAGCCCATGTAGTATAATATTTTACAAATGATGAATTACAGCAAACATGTGCAATATATCCATTATTACAGCTCCGTGGCAGTAAGGCGATATGGGTCCGTTCTTATTGTGCATCCATGGGTAAAGATAAACGCATGTAGTGCTGAACACGTAACATGAACGTGCCGGGCGGCGCGGTCCCGTGGGTTAGATGCGCGTTCATAATGCAAAGGGAAATAACTCTCAGAATAACGTTATTAGCACATTTTTACAATTGAGGAACGAATGTTTTTAATAAGGGCTATACAAGTGTTCATACTGGGTTGTTTATTTAGTTTAAAAAAAATTATCCAACGAGTTACAGACCACTCTTTCCCAATGTAAGTCAATGGGAAAAAGTGTTTCCGGGCCCATGCAACCTAAAGGAAGTGTAGTACCGCCGTTTGGCCACATAGAATATTTTCATCAGACTCCGGCGCACTTCCTGGGGGCTTGGTTAACATGTCATGTTAACTGTCACGTTTGAAGGGACGAAATCGTGACATAGGCCCATTCCCAAACCGCCCCTATACACCCTACCCCTACACCCTACCCCTACACCCTACCCCTACACCCTACCCCTCCACCCTACCCCTACACCCTACCCCTCCGTTTGCGCGTTCACGCGGAGGGTCCGCCATATTGAGGGCTATTCCAAAGCAACGAGTGTGGAGCAAGCCCCCAGGAAGTGCGCCGGACTCAAATGAAAATATTCGTGCTGGCCAAATGGCGGTACTACACTTCAGTTTGGTTGCTGGGCCCGGAAACACTTTTTCCCATTGACTTACATGGGGAAAGAGTGGTCTGTAAATCGTTGGATAATTTTTTTTAAACTAAATAAACTACCCAGTATGAACACTGTTCACACTGTTAACAACCTCATGATGACCTCATATGTTTTTAATTTAGGATCATACCTGTGTTTAAAAGGTAAATGTGTGCTTTTTATTATAAAGTTGTGTATATTTACAGACCGTTGCAAAAACTAAGAAGCTTATAAACATCAGGTTTAAAACTAAAAGAGCTTTGAAACACAATGAAAGATGTTTGGAGTTTTATTTGAGTTATTAATTTAAACTTTTTGTCTAAGGGATGCTGATTTGAAACCGTTGCTACATAAAGTTACAGCATTTCCTGTTTCTGCCGGAGAGAGGGGAGGCCGTCCCAAAGATTGCTGCTGTGTTTACTCCCTCCATCTGACAGGAGGGAGCCTCGTTGAGCTGCGAGTGTAGCTACAGACGGAGTTCACTCCGTCACGGAGGGGTAGGGTCGAGGGAGTGGTTTGGGATTGGGATTGGGCCATCTTCACGTCTCCCAGCATGGTAAATCGTCACATGTTCACGTCTTGCCGTGATACCGGGTTGGACCAATCGTTGAACAGCATTTACGAGCACATGACTTGTGTTTAAAGTTTAGAGTCCGTTTGAGTTTTGCCCGTGTGAACGCAAACCGAACCTTCTGAAAAATAAAACTTGGAACAAACTGTCGTCTGGTGCGCACCAGAGAAGCGGACTATTATGTGTGAATGCGACCTAAACTGTCCACTAATCAGACCGAAAACAGGAGATTTTTTAATAAGGGAAAAATTACATCTAGTCACTTCAGTAAAGACTCCATAGCCTACATCCCCATGTAACATCTGTAAAGTGTTATATCTATATTTATTTATTTCAGTCACTGTGAGTTTTATCATTTGGCTGTAAGGTCATTGATCCTTCTTTTTATTCTTTAACTAAGATACGCTTTGAACTTTATTTAAGCCACTGGTTTACAGGGTGTCTACTTTATCTCCTCCCCCACAGCCTGAACTACGCCTACTATAATGCAAATTGAATGCATCACACCAGAACGTTTCCTCCTAGCACAGAAAACAAACTGCAGAAACATCCCCTTCTCTGATTACGCATGCAGCCTCGTTGAAACACCAACTTGCTTCATCGGACATATTCACCATGAAAACAGATCTGTCAGCACTGAGGTCTCTACAGTCTCACATACAGGTAGGAACCTCTATGGTAGGAACACTACTTTATTAAGGAAATTATGTCTCCTACAGCTGCTTCCTTTTAAGCTCCTGTTGTAGAGAACAGGCGCTATATTAAACAAAAATAACAGAACGAGTTGGAAAGACGTTGACTCAGAAACGTTTTTCAAACACAAACTGTGTTACAGTGACGTGCGGTGAGGTTCATGGCTGGTGAGGCACTGACTCTCTCAGAGTCAGATTTACAAATATTATATTTTGACCTTAATCGAAATGTTCGGTTATTTTCAAAAGCTTTTTTAGTCTGATGCTTCGATTCATTTTAAACAGACTGTTCAACAAAAGGATACCCAAAATCTAAATATTGGATTGTTCTTTCTTAGTAAGATCCCATGTTCATTACAATTGTGGTCTTACCTTGACTTGAAGATGAAGTCCATGCTATCCTTCTGGACAACAATCTCCATTACATTTTTGTAAAAGTCCTCCTTATCTTCCTCTAGTTTCAAAACAAAAGTCTAGTTTGTTACCGTCTCTGCGTAGAATAACAGTAGCAACAAGAACCTGTGGGTTCCACAAATCATGTGAAACCCAGATTTGGCACAAAAAAGGGGGAATACACGTTTCGCAATTATGCCACATCAAGGTGGAACGCTCTTCCCACAGCTGTAAAGGAAAGTAAAACTATACTTACCTTCAAAACCTCTCTTAAAGAGCACCTTCGGGGGAGAGCATTGCAAAACTGGCCCCGGTAATGGTACCAATCTCAACCTGTCGTTCAATGGACAGCTTCCCCCCCCCCCCCCCCCCCCCCCATCTATGTATATACTCGCATTTTAGACTCTGTTACTAACTGTATATCTGTAGACTTGGTATGTCTTAAATGTCCGGTTAGGATGTATTAGAACGAAATCTAAAATGAAAATTGTAAATAAGCAATCTGTATGTAAAAAACCACCTGTATGTAAATTGTAAATAAGCCATCTGTATGTCTTATATGTCTTAAATGACATGATGAATTGGAAATGGGGGACCCTGATGTAAACAAGACGACAGTCTTTCTCTGGTCTGCATCCCCTTAACAATTGTATGTTTTGAGCTGTACTGTACTGTACCCAATATACAAGCTGTTAATAAACTTTTCAATCAATCAATCAATGGGCTCACTTGCGCCCCCTTCAGTGCGGCAGAGGTTATGGCTGCCTCTCCAGGTGCTTTTTTCATTGCCGTTGTATGATGAGACCAGCGGGCCTAAATATCATATATACGTGAAATAAGTTATTTAGAGACTATGGATGGCGAGGATAAATGTAATAAAGGGATCTACAAACATTACATTGGTGACATACAGTGAGATGGTGCAGGCATGCGCTTAGGGCCCGCTTTCCAGCCAGTTTCTGTGGGGTGACGCATTCTGAGGTGACCACAGTAACTGGCTTGAGCGCGCTCACAAAATAAGTGTCCGCGTTAAATTAGTGCCCGCGCTCCAGCCAGTTACTGTGGGTTTACGTGAGGCAGAGCTCGTCCCTGCCTCACTCCTCTTCGCTCCCATGTAGTTGTAGCGGAGCTCGGCCAATTTGCTGATTTTGACTATAAAAAGCGATTGGAATCAAACAGAAATCACATTTACAACACAGATCAGTGGAGATATTTTATTATTATTAATATTTAGTTTTTCTTTAGTTGTTTTTCTGTTACATTGGAGTATGGCAGGTGAGGCCCCTGACTGCACGTCGCTGCTGTGTTAATTATTTAAATGTGCCTGAATGCAAAAGCTGTCTCTTTCTCCTCACGAAGCACACATTCACTATTATAATAACAATAATTATTTGTATTATTACTGTTGTTATTCAGAGAGATTCTGAAACAAGGGGGTGTTGAACTGAAGGCGTACAGTTGGTCCTCTGTTTCCTGATCTGCTCACTGATCTCAAAGCAGAAAGTATTTCATGTTGAAATACGATACCACCTAGTGTCAGATATATGTTACTGTTCCTGGTGTCAGTCCTCTGAAGTATTGTGATGACTAAAGATGGACTGTGACTGTGACTGTGTGTGTGTGTGTGTGTGTGTGTGTGTGTGTGTGTGTGTGTGTGTGTGTGTGTGTGTGTGTGTGTGTGTGTGTGTGTGTGTGTGTGTGTGTGTGTGTGTGTGTGTGTGTGTGTGTGTGTCCTCTCACAGGGAGAAGATGATCTTCGTCATCCTGCTGCTCCTCTTCCTCACCCCCTGTATCTCTGGTTAGTTTTACTTCTGTAATACCCACTAAGACACAATTTAATATTATTGGAAGACTTGTCACATTTAACCTTTTTATAAAGAAGCATCTTAGAGCTCTTTGGTATGGAACACTGTTAGTGCAAAACTGAGGAAAGAGATTCTTATTGTATTTAGCTTTTTTTTAAATCAAAATGTCAAGAAGTGGAGCTTTCAGTCCGCGAAGGTACTGCAGATGGTCCGTGAAAAAAAAAAGAAGAAATCCACTTTTTTTATCAAGGATTTTCGCGGACCACCTCATATGCAAACTGTAAAAATAAGTAAATAATATATAAACGTAGTGTTAAAATGGAGATATTTGTTATTGTATTTGTTACCACTGGTTACCCATGGTTACGTGTGCGCGTGCAAAACCACAAACAAAAATACTCTTCCTTAGGAGACCACTGTCTCTGGTTAGTCTCTTTAAAGCTGTTCTCAGTAAAGCAGCACAGAAACATAGCTGTAGTTTAAAGAGTCCCTCTGTGTCTCCTCCACAGGAACATAGCTGTAGTTTAAAGAGTCCCTCTTTGTCTCCTCCACAGGAACATAGCTGCAGTATAAAGAGTCCCTCTGTGTCTCCTCCACAGGAACATAGCTGCAGTTTAAAGAGTCCCTCTGTGTCTCCTCCACAGGAACATAGCTGCAGTATAAAGAGTCCCTCTGTGTCTCCTCCACAGGAACATAGCTGCAGTTTAAAGAGTCCCTCTGTGTCTCCTCCACAGGAACATAGCTGCAGTATAAAGAGTCCCTCTGTGTCTCCTCCAAAGGAACATAGCTGTAGTTTAAAGAGTCCCTCTGTGTCTCCTCCAAAGGAACATAGCTGTAGTTTAAAGAGTCCCTCTGTGTCTCCTCCAAAGGAACATAGCTGCAGTTTAAATAGTCCCTCTGTGTCTCCTCCACAGGAACATAGCTGCAGTTTAAAGAGTCCCTCTGTGTCTCCTCCACAGGAACATAGCTGCAGTATAAAGAGTCCCTCTGTGTCTCCTCCACAGGAACATAGCTGCAGTTTAAAGAGTCCCTCTGTGTCTCCTCCACAGGAACATAGCTGCAGTATAAAGAGTCCCTCTGTGTCTCCTCCAAAGGAACATAGCTGTAGTTTAAAGAGTCCCTCTGTGTCTCCTCCAAAGGAACATAGCTGTAGTTTAAAGAGTCCCTCTGTGTCTCCTCCAAAGGAACATAGCTGCAGTTTAAATAGTCCCTCTGTGTCTCCTCCAAAGGAACATAGCTGCAGTTTAAAGAGTCCCTCTGTGTCTCCTCCACAGGAACATTTGTAGTGAATGTGACTCAGGCTTCCTATCAGGCAGAGGAGAATCAGAACATCACCCTGGAGTGGACCTTCAGCACCAGAAGAGACACTTCCCTCAGATCCATTTCTACCTTCTGTGAGCTTCATACTGAGAGCAGACCCTACGTCCTGTTTCATCTCCATCAAGGCATTGAATCCCCAGAGTCTCAGGATCCACAGTTTGCAGGACGAGTCCAGTGGGACAAAGACGTCCTCACAGAAGGACGCCTCACACTTCATGTCTCCAGACTCAGGACCAGTGACTCTGGGTTTTATGTGTGTGACATACTCGTCAGACATGATGGGAGCAACTCTAGGAGATGCTGGCTCAACGTCACTGGTGAGTAAACGCAGTAGAAGTCTAGAGCTAAATACTAATGCATCTACATCCATTATGTTGCCGCTAATATTGGATCATATTCTCCAATAATTGAACAGTTAACAGCTGGAAAAGGAAATGGCAGATACTCAACAAAGTATGAATGAAAGACCAAAAGAGTCCTGTTGCTCAAATCTTAAGAACGGCTTGTTTTAACGGTTTGAAATGTGCACCTCTCAAAATAAAACTCTGCACTCAAACTAACTGTGATCCAAACCAGCCCCACACAGAACTCATTTTAGTGGAAAAGGGGAAACTGAGAAGCTGGAACCACAGGAGGTTGCAGATGATCATGTGTTCACTCTAGATTAAACCTGTTATCAACACTAAAATGGTTCCTCGTGTTATATTCTGTCCTTTTCCACAGCTGCTGAAGAGCTCGAACCTCAGAGACCAACGGAGAGGCCACAACTAGAGATTCTGATTTGGGTTATCTTTGGACTGTTACCTCTTGGGGTTGTCTTAAATATCAGCTATGCCTGCATAGCTTTAATAATATATAATAGAAGAACCCACAATGCAGCCATACAGATGGAGAGTTCATCAGAGAAACAAACCATCAGGACTTATCTCCGTCTGAATCTGAGCATAAAGTGAGACTCTCCAACATCTGATTCAAGAGTCAGAAAAGAGCTCAGTGTAACATCTGTAAAGTGTATTTGTTATATTTATTTATTTCAGTCATCATTCGAGTTGTATCATTCGCCTGTCACTCTGTTCTCTGCTTACCAATGGATATTGTTACCATGCTGCATTTAATGTGCTTTTATAAATGTTACATATTAGCAATAAATCCCTTTTATTTTGTATTCACTGTTTCACTGCACGTGTCACAGGAGGAGATCTTTGGAAATGTTCAATTGGATCGACTTAAAAGTGTAAAAATGCTTTTTTGTTATATATTATAATAAAGTTGTTTATTCTTTTACACTATTCTTCATCCACATGTCTCCCTGCTTCTTGAACACTGTAGCTGCCTTGAATTTCTGCCAAGACTTGAAAGAGAAACTAAAAACAGACCGACCAATCAGGAGGCAGTGAACTGAGGGCTTTTCTAATGCGCATGCACCAGGGAAAGGCAACCAATGGGAACCTTTGCTTTATTAATAAGAGCGGACGGTTGATATTGAACGACTACAATCGTACAAAAAAACGTCAACCAATCAGAGAGAAGGAGATCCACTGCCTGCTTATTGATCTGAAGAGATGTTTTCTAGATGTAACATATGATAGTGCAGTTCAGGGACCAATCATTGAGGGATGCTGTGAATCCTGCTGTTTCCAGACTCATGAGATCTCTACACTTTCCATAGGTTTACAGGTAAGGTCACATCTTTGTTCTCCTGTTAGGAAATAACGAGCTAAAAGACACGTCTCAATTACCTCGTTATAAAATAAAGTGCTATCAAAACGACTGGAAACATCCGGGGTATCCTATTGGTTAAACTACAAAAAATACATCCGGGGAAAATGCTTTTTACGCAGTATTCTGTGGAGAAAGAGCAATACAGGAATACAGTTTTCATTTGTAATGAGAGTCCCTGTTTCTGTCTGACGGCTGATCCAATTAGCAACCACACCCTTCCTCTCCGTGACACAGCAAACATCGACTGCACTCAATAGAGTGGCAGATAATTATATTAATAATAGTGGAAATAAATAAATAATTCTAAAAATATAATATATCAAAAACAATAATAGTACACAAATATATTATAAATATGATAATTTAGTAAATAATAATAATAAATTAGGGAGGAGAAATTGTATATAATAATGATTAAAAAATGAAATACAAAATAATAAAAATAATAAATACAAAGAAATTATAAAGATAATAATAGTCCAATAATAATAGTAAATATTAAAAGAGATTATAATAATAACAACAGTAAAAGACAGACTGCTGTGTTTAATCAGAAATCAGACCTGTATTCGTCCCACAGGGGGAAATGTACATTGTTACAGCAACAGTGGGAAAAAAAGTAAAATAAAACACTATTAGATAAAAGGGCAGGCACAAAATAAATAAAAGGGTTAGTTATTCAAATCTACAAATTACATTCGGATTAATCTGCAAGTTGCATTCGTTTTATTGCACAACAGTGCCTGAATCTGCTTCATTAAAGGCAGTTTTCCTAGAAATACATTCATTTCTGATCCTAAATATCTTGGTTTCTTCTTTTCTAAAGTCACAGAATGTATTGTCATTACATTTGATATTGAAGTAATCCAAAAGCATTTTTAATACTCAGATACTGATTACTGATTATATTTGTTGAGTCCTCTCCTGCTGATGTTCAGGTGTATATCAGTATGTAGTGTCTCTACTTTAAAGAGTCCTCTCCTGCTGATGTTCAGGTGTATATCAGTATGTAGTGTCTCTAATTTAAAGAGTCCTCTCCTGCTGATGTTCAGGTGTATATCAGTATGTAGTGTCTCTACTTTAAAGAGTTCTCTCCTGCTGATGTTCAGGTGTATATCAGTATGTAGTGTCTCTACTTTAAAGAGTCCTCTCCTGCTGATGTTCAGGTGTATATCAGTATGTAGTGTCTCTACTTTAAAGAGTTCTCTCCTGCTGATGTTCAGGTGTATATCAGTATGTAGTGTCTCTACTTTAAAGAGTTCTCTCCTGCTGATGTTCAGGTGTATATCAGTATGACGTGTCTCTACTTTAAAGAGTCCTCTCCTGCTGATGTTCAGGTGTATATCAGTATGTAGTGTCTCTACTTTAAAGAGTCCTCTCCTGCTGATGTTCAGGTGTATATCAGTATGTAGTGTCTCTACTTTAAAGAGTCCTCTCCTGCTGATGTTCAGGTGTATATCAGTATGTAGTGTCTCTACTTTAAAGAGTCCTCTCCTGCTGATGTTCAGGTGTATATCAGTATGTAGTGTCTCTACTTTAAGAGTCCTCTCCTGCTGATGTGCAGGTGTATATCAGTATGTAGTGTCTCTACTTTAAAGAGTCCTCTCCTGCTGATGTTCAGGTGTATATCAGTATGTAGTGTCTCTAATTTAAAGAGTCCTCTCCTGCTGATGTTCAGGTGTATATCAGTATGTAGTGTCTCTACTTTAAAGAGTTCTCTCCTGCTGATGTTCAGGTGTATATCAGTATGTAGTGTCTCTACTTTAAAAGAGTCCTCTCCTGCTGATGTTCAGGTGTATATCAGTATGTAGTGTCTCTACTTTAAAGAGTTCTCTCCTGCTGATGTTCAGGTGTATATCAGTATGTAGTGTCTCTACTTTAAAGAGTTCTCATCCTGCTGATGTTCATGTGTATATCAGTATGACGTGTCTCTACTTTAAAGAGTCCTCTCCTGCTGATGTTCAGGTGTATATCAGTATGTAGTGTCTCTACTTTAAAGAGTCCTCTCCTGCTGATGTTCAGGTGTATATCAGTATGTAGTGTCTCTACTTTAAAGAGTCCTCTCCTGCTGATGTTCAGGTGTATATCAGTATGTAGTGTCTCTACTTTAAAGAGTCCTCTCCTGCTGATGTTCAGGTGTATATCAGTATGTAGTGTCTCTACTTTAAAGAGTCCTCTCCTGCTGATGTGCAGGTGTATATCAGTATGTAGTGTCTCTACTTTAAAGAGTCCTCTCCTGCTGATGTTCAGGTGTATATCAGTATGTAGTGTCTCTAATTTAAAGAGTCCTCTCCTGCTGATGTTCAGGTGTATATCAGTATGTAGTGTCTCTACTTTAAAGAGTTCTCTCCTGCTGATGTTCAGGTGTATATCAGTATGTAGTGTCTCTACTTTTAAGAGTCCTCTCCTGCTGATGTGCAGGTGTATATCAGTATGTAGTGTCTCTACTTTAAAGAGTCCTCTCCTGCTGATGTTCAGGTGTATATCAGTATGTAGTGTCTCTACTTTAAAGAGTCCTCTCCTGCTGATGTGCAGGTGTATATCAGTATGTAGTGTCTCTACTTAAAGAGTCCTCTCCTGCTGATGTGCAGTGTATATCAGTATGTAGTGTCTCTACTTTAAAGAGTCCTCTCCAGCTGATGTTCAGGTGTATATCAGTATGTAGTGTCTCTACTTTAAAGAGTTCTCTCCTGCTGATGTTCAGGTGTATATCAGTATGTAGTGTCTCTACTTTAAAGAGTTCTCTCCTGCTGATGTTCAGGTGTATATCAGTATGACGTGTCTCTACTTTAAAGAGTCCTCTCCTGCTGATGTTCAGGTGTATATCAGTATGACGTGTCTCTACTTTAAAGAGTCCTCTCCTGCTTATGTTCAGGTGTATATCAGTATGTAGTGTCTCTACTTTAAAGAGTCCTCTCCTGCTGATGTTCAGGTGTATATCAGTATGTAGTGTCTCTACTTTAAAGAGTCCTCTCCTGCTGATGTTCAGGTGTATATCAGTATAGTGTCTCTACTTTAAAGAGTCCTCTCCTGCTGATGAGAGAGAGAGAGAGAGAGAGAGAGAGAGAGAGAGAGAGAGAGAGAGAGAGAGAGAGAGAGAGAGAGAGAGAGAGAGAGAGAGAGAGAGAGAGAGAGATGATCCCAATTTGGGTAATGTTTGCGTTGCAGTAGCATACAAAATGCACAGAGAAATTAAGACACTAGAACTAAACCGAACAAATTATTTTGGAAATAGAAATAAAATAGCATTAAAAATATAGGCAGGCAGGCAGTGTGTATCCAATGGTTTAAGGTAATTTATTTCAAATATGTGTGAAAATAGACTATCGACCTTAGACGACTATAAGGCAGACCAAAGACTGCAAAGCTATGGCACCTGAAAACTAGACAGCTTTGCAAATGGTATATGAACAATATATTGGAAATGGGGAACAGGTGATCACGTGATAAGGTGATGGGAATGGCGGGAAAGTGATTCCTGCAGGACAGGAAGGAGTGGCTGGATTTTTACATAGCCTACTGTATGTGTCATAGAAAACAGAGAGAGAACAATGATTAAAAAAGCAAAGAATAAGGAGTGTTAATCGTTGGGATTCGGCTGAAGTCGTGACCAAATAGGAGCTTAAATTAGATAAAATGAAAGAAAAACAAGCCGGCATACTTTGATGAGTATTGTGATTAAATCAGTTCAAACTGCAAGTTGAGTTGTGTCGCCCCCTAGTGGCGAAAAGGCTCAGGTGTACCACTTCACTGAGAATAAACACCAACTTGTATAATTTATATATTATATGTCTCTGTGCCTTTAGTATAAATCTTTATTTCCGGTGCTGTAACAACATAATTTCCCAATTTGGGATCAATACAAATCTATCTCTCTCTATATATATCTCTCTCTATATATATCTATCTATCTATCTATCTATCTATCTATCTATCTATCTATCTATCTATCTATCTATCATGGAAGAACGAACTAAACTTTTTTCTCATTATTTGACTTATTTATGTTTCTTGTATAGAGCCTTACTTTGTTGTTAATGATTGTTAATTTGTGTTTGTAATTTTTAAGTTTATTTTATTTGATCTAAACTGTATTTGCACCATTCAATGGTATCGGCTGAAAATGAGTGCCTCAAACGTTTGTAAATGACTCTTGTTTAATAAAGTATATTTAAAAAAATCGTAAGGATAACCGGTGTACGCCAGCCTGTGAAACAATCGCACCTTCAGCCATTAGCGTAACGTGATTGGCCTTATTGAGAAAACCAGGTAGAGACAAAACGCCTCAGTATTGGCTAGAATTCAGAATCCCTTCCCTATGTCGCTTCTGATTGGTTCATGACTCACTGGACTTTGATTTGATTGGTTGGCTGTATCGCAGAAGGGGCGGGTTGTCAGGTTTGGTTGCGGAGCTGATACCGGTAACCGAGCACTCCACAGCACGTTGTGAAGCCGCTACTGGTGATTCAAAGAAATCACTTGTTTCTAAATCCTCCACGTTTTTGAAAATTAACCCACTGGTAAGTCTTGCTTTTGGCTAAACTGTCATTCATTTTCGTTTAAAAGTAGCGTGTGGTTTTCCTTGTATTCGGTGGATTAGCCGGTTTCGTGGCTCCGTCTACATCCTGGGGAGGACATGATTAGCAGGGCTATGGTTGATTAATTAAACCCTCCTATGGTGTTAATTTCTTTAAAATAACCAACTGGTGATGCAGTAGTCGTGAATATGTAGCATTATCAGGTTATAGCCATCGCCATTATTGCAAAGTTTCACTTTGGTGGGCCAGGAAATACCCACCGCCCTTTTACTACATTAGCTTAATTCTAGCTCTCATTCAGTCGTGACTCCCCTCCCTCCTTTCATGCCTTTTTTTGTTTAACCTTCTTGCCCTTCGACTTTTCCCTCCATGATCGATAAGATACGATTATACTTCCCTGCACAATTCCCCCTTGTCTGTTAAATGTGTCCCCTTCTACCTGATTAATCTAGCTTTACAGGAATGGAAAGTGGGGCAGATTCCCGGCCAGGACACGTGTTGGGGCTCCAGATCGTAGCCGGTTTCTGCTCTACTTTTCGGCTCTATTCTCACCCAGCTGTCCCGGTTTTAGCTCGGTTGTGAGCCAGCCATGGTGCAATTTTAGCCCAGGTTTATATCTGGACATGTTCCACTAAAAGAAGGACCACATGACCGGTGCTGAGGGTGCTTTCAGGCCGGTGAAAAGCACCGTTTCTGCGGGCACGGCGTGGCCTTTGTCTGCATGCCATGCTTTACACTTTTTTTTTTTAAACACAAGCTGCTTTCTGAAATGACTGCTGCTTTATGCCCTTATAAGCACTTAATATCTCCAAATTCACTTGGATCCATTCTAGCTAAAGCAGGTGGTGTTGAGTAACTAAGTACATTTACTCAAGTACTATACTTAAGTAACATTTTATGGTACTTTGTACTTCTACTCTACTGCAATTCAGTGGTAAAAATGCGACTTTTTCTCCAGTAAAGATGCATATATAGCTAAATACTTTACTACAATTAGGAACTTATTTTGTCACAGCAGTAGGGTTATCAAGCATTTACATTAAACATATTTAAAAGATAGAATAAAGTACACACATTGTACACCTGGAGTAAATCCACCAGCTACCCTGCAGTATACAAAGTCATTCAAACTAGCTGCACCTTTACCAGCTTTGAGAACACTTTCATGATCAATCATTATAAAACATATCATATATATTATTCTGAAATGGACCAATCTGCACAACGACTACTTTTACTGTCGCTGCTTTCACTATATTTAGATGAGAATACTTTTCTACTTTCACTTGAGGAACATTTTGAATGCAGGACTTTTACTGTAACAGAGTATTCCTACACTCTGGTACTTCTACTTTTACTCAAGTACAAGGTCTGAGTACTTCTACTGTTACTCAAGTACAAGGTCTGAGTACTTCTACTTTTACTCAAGTACAAGATCTGAGTACTTCTACTTTTACTCAAGTACAAGGTCTGAGTACTTCTACTTTTAATCAAGAGTACTACCTCCATCTAAACCCACCTCCCTGATGTTAGCAGCTAACATTAGACATGAGGCTCCTTCAGGTCGCCTCTCTAAACAGTGATTGGCTTATCCTGATGGATCACTTGATGTATGCTGCTGTGTGTGTGTGCCAGCACAACAGATGGTCCTGTGTGTGTGGACAGGTGTGGCACATAGTCCATTAATGAAGATCATGCTAGTGGGTTAGCATGTTTAAGCTTCTTTACAGCTGATAATGTAAACGCTACAGAGTTTAACATTTGATGCTAGTTTTACTCTAGACATCTATTGGTGTCCTATCATCAAAAATCAAAGGTTATTTATGCAGCTCAATAGCCCAAATTGCACACATGTCACAGGGGGCTTCGCAGTTTATACAGAATACAGATACGGCACCCTGATGATAATGGTATCGTTGGGTCTGCACTGAACAAAGCCATTATAGGACATTTTGTTTCATTCCTATATGATCTGTCTTATTGTTGGAAATGCTCACTAGATCTCGCTCTAAATTATTCACACTAAAGTTTTGAGTAACGTTATAGAATAAATTATAGCGGTCTAATGATGGGCAATCGACCAAAATAGATACTTTAATTTTGAAATTGGCACCTTGAGTTCAATAGTATCTCCGTCCATACATTATCCAAATCATAATTGAATTGCCTTTGTGTGAACGTAGCTGATTGTGTTAAAACAACCTACGAAATCGTCTTAAATGGATCAGAGGCTCCTGCAATTAGTCGTAGTGTTTGTGATATCTGCCAATAATCTGTCATGTAATATATTTCACGGTAGAAACGTGTGACCCAACCCCTGTAGGATCTATGTTGCTCAACAGTTGCAATGCATCCAGAAAGTGAGTCAGTAACCAAAACATAGAATATTACCTGCATTTAAGACTCAAAACAGGCTGAATATTATGTATTAAATCTTAAAAGCACATCTCAATATTCAAACATTCTCCACATGTAGAACAAATGTGTGAAATCAGTGTAAACGACTCCGATCTGTCATCACTGATTAATCAGCGCAGTGTAAACATAGGAGAAATCATAGAAGGGAACAAAATGTCCTGTGTGTCGAGTTCAGGCCGGGAAACTCAATTCAATTAAACCAACCTCATATGGCAATTTAGGACTGGGCGATGGTTTAAATCTGATATAGACTTTCAATGGAATCATGCCATGTATCGTGTTGCACATGAACATCGCCTATGTTCATAATAAACTCACATTTCTCAACAAAATCCAATTAAAAGTTCAATTGGATCCTAAAACACTTTATCAGTCTGCAAACTCATGTTCTAGAAGTCCACTGGCATGTTCGTTTTGCACTAATTAAACAAGAAAGTACTCATTATTTCATTCACAAAGTAGTATACAAATATAGGCGTAACCATACAGTTATATTGACTATTTATTTGTTGAATTACCATAAAACCTGCTTAATCTGGCTATATATTAAGATTTTAAATTAATTGTATTGGTAGATTTTGGCCATATTGCTCCGCCTTAAAATGGAAATCCAATAACATAGGTTTTCATTTGGTATTTTAAGGGTAAAGTCACCAAAATAAAACAATATCCAGCTTATTTCAGTCGATATTATAGGCCTAAAAGTCTAACCTCTTCAAAAAGCATACATTTATGATGTTATATGCTTTCGAAAAGAGCATTAGGTTAATTGTAAAGTAAAAGACGGTGTTGGAATGCTTTCTGTTGAAGTGCAATGGCTGCAATTCCAGATTTCTATCCGCTCTGTATGAAAACAAACGGATAAGATCTGGGTTTGTTTTCCAGGCCGAGGGCGCTCTGTGTTCATGTGGGTGAATCCAGATGGGACAGTAAATGCATGTCAGTTTTTGTATTTATTTATTTTTTACAGATCGTACACTCCTCATGCCTCGGGCTTTTCAACGCGGTCCAAAAAATATGAATTCAAAATGAGAGTTGTATATTGTAGGCTTTGAATCAGAGGTCTAAACCCTGCTTCACACTTCTAACCGTGCGTGTGATTGCCTGTGACTTCTGTCCAATCAGATGGATGATTCACAATCAGATGATTTTACATTTTCTTAATGGCTACTGGAAAATGCAGACTGGTGCATATGGGATGTAGTGTGGTGAGGGAATGAGTCCTAAAACTGGGAAATTGGATGCTTTTTAACACTTCCTGACCCCTAGTCTGGAAGTCAATTGTTTTCTGAGTGTTTTTGGTTGTTGGCATGAAATAAGCTCTGTGGTTAACACAAGCTGAATATATTTTAATGTTTGTTTGCAAACAAGTGTCTTAATGAGACGACTAAACGTCATCACACCCAACATTAGCCACCTTTAGCTTAGCGGTGGTGAAGTCATGTGACCGTGCTGTAGTTCCTTTGTAGCCCAACATTAGCCATCTTTAGCTTAGCGGTGGTGACGTGAAGTCATGTGACCGTGATGTAGTTCCTTTGTAGCCCAACATTAGCCACCTTTAGCTTAGCGGTGGTGAAATCATGTGACCGTGCTGTAGTTCCTTTGTAGCCCAACATTAGCCACCTTTAGCTTAGCGGTGGTGAAGTCATGTGACCGTGCTGTAGTTCCTTTGTAGCCCAACATTAGCCACCTTTAGCTTAGCGGTGGTGAAGTCATGTGGCTAATGGCTACAAAAGAACTACAGCAGAGATGGGGTCGTTACTAAAAAAAAGTAATATATTACACTACTTCGTTACACTCTACATAAAGTTACTCGTTACTTTAATAGTTACTTTACTCGCAGGGCCGCCCCGCCCCTCCCTACAGGCAGATCACGCAGACTGCCGCGCACCTACAGTGTGCGCGCCACAGTTTTGCCTCTGCGAGACTCCACTTGCCCCCCCAATTACTATTGCATTAAGGAAGACATAACACATGTCTTTCTTTTTATATGCTCTAAAATAGGCTACCAGCCACACAACAAGCTCACAGTCTGTGAAACGTCAAGACACTAATTCATGAAACCAGTTCAAGACGCATTATTCTTATCATTCTTTATGAGCGCATAACGGTAAGGTATCTAATTACTTATGTATTTAGTATTCCATAACTTAGTAACAGAGATGGTCAAACTAAAGTGGTAGAGACATGGCAGAGTTCCTACAATGAAGCGGGGCATTGAACTGTTCACCCGTGAGAGGGCGATCAACAAAAGAGAGCGAGCGGCCCCGTTGAGGGAGTTTACAGATGAGAAGACTCAGCCATGTTTATTCAGCACTGCACGTGGAGATGTGGTCTCGCAAATCACGCAGATTACATAGGCCTACATGTATATAAACCTGCGGCGGAAACCCCTCTTGTCTGTCAGTGAGTGTGATTATTTTATAAAAGTAACGCTTGTCGGGGCAATGTTAGTAACTGTAGTGTGATTACTAAATTATAAAAGTAACGCGTTACACTACTCCGTTACCGACACAAGTAATATTATTACAGTAACGCGTTACTTTGTAACGCGTTACTTTGTAACGCGTTACTTTGTAACCAGTTACTTTGGTTACTTTGTAACGCGTTACACCCAACTCTGGCGGTGGTGAAGTCATGTGACCGTGCTGTAGTTCCTTTATAGCCCAACATTAGCCACCTTTAGCTTAGCGGTGGTGAAGTCATGTGACCGTGCTGTAGTTCCTTTATAGCCCAACATTAGCCACCTTTAGCTTAGCGGTGGTGACGTGAAGTCATGTGACCGTGCTGTAGTTCCTTTGTAGCCCAACATTAGCCACCTTTAGCTTAGCGGTGGTGACGTGAAGTCATGTGACCGTGCTGTAGTTCCTTTGTAGCCCAACATTAGCCACCTTTAGCTTAGCTGTGGTGACGTGAAGTCATGTGAACGTGCTGTAGTTCCTTTATAACCCACCATTAGCCACCTTTAGCTTAGCGGTGGTGACGTGAAGTCATGTGACCGTGCTGTAGTTCCTTTGTAGCCCAACATTAGCCACCTTTAGCTTAGCTGTGGTGACGTGAAGTCATGTGACCGTGCTGTAGTTCCTTTGTAGCCCAACATTAGCCACCTTTAGCTTAGCTGTGGTGACGTGAAGTCATGTGACCGTGCTGTAGTTCCTTTGTAGCCCAACATTAGCCACCTTTAGCTTAGCGGTGGTGACGTGAAGTCATGTGACCGTGCTGTAGTTCCTTTGTAGCCCAACATTAGCCACCTTTAGCTTAGCTGTGGTGACGTGAAGTCATGTGAACGTGCTGTAGTTCCTTTATAACCCACCATTAGCCACCTTTAGCTTAGCGGTGGTGACGTGAAGTCATGTGACCGTGCTGTAGTTCCTTTGTAGCCCAACATTAGCCGCCTTTAGCTTAGCGGTGGTGACGTGAAGTCATGTGACCGTGCTGTAGTTCCTTTGTAGCCCAACATTAGCCACCTTTAGCTTAGCGGTGGTGACGTGAAGTCATCTGACCGTGCTGTAGATCCTTTATAGCTATTTTCTTCAAAAATCATTAAGTGTTAACTGTTTCAGCACTAGATGTAGCTGAAACACAAAAGGCAGTTATCTGATTCTCTCTTTGCTCATTATCTTCCTCTAACCCTCCTCTTCCTCCTTGCAGAGATTTCCAGTTGACCAAAGAAATGGTGATGGAGAAGCCAAGTGCCCAGCTGGTCGGGCGAGAGTTTGTCCGACAGTATTACACACTCCTGAACCAGGCGCCCGACTACCTGCACAGGTGAGAACACACATCTTTAGTAGCAGCATCCATTTTACGTTATAGTAATACACATATGAGCTATACAGAGTACACATACAGGTGCTATATACAACAATTAAATAAAAAAAATGACAAAACAATAATACCATAAAAAGAACGTTACAGTAATAGCGATGAAAAAAATAATACAATGACATGACAGAAAACCCCTAAGACCATCCTGTATCGAAAGTGATCATGGCGTCCTCGTCGTCAGGTCATTGATAGTACAGGAAGATGAAGCTGGAAGCCTTTCCCGTGTTTGAAGGATTCTCCGTTCCTATCAGACCCTGGCGCTCCCAAACATTTAGAATAACAGATTAAACAAAGTGACTTTTTTAGACGTGAATACAGTGTTTGTTGTTCTTGTGGACGTAAGAGTTAAATGCAAGTAACTCTACAATCGAGTTTTGGTTCTCACGGACATGGACTTTGGCGAGGGACGTCCGTCTTTAGTTTTTGGTCGCTTCTGTGTTTTTAATCAGAATGCCTTTCATGTAAATGTTCCCTCTGTGGGACTAATGGCGCTTTTCCACTGCAGGGCCTCGCACGGCTTAGTACGGTCTTGGTAGGCCAGGCTTACTTTATGCTGCGTTTCCATTACAGTTTAGTAGCTGGGCCAGTAACTATGGTAACGCAGTGTAGGCGGAGCCGTGACGTCATCTTCAATGAGAACCACAAAACCAACATTAGCTGTTAGCACTCAAGCTCACAGCTCCTCATATCTGTTCAGAAACTAGACAGAAGTTAAACAAGTACAAACCACAGACTGCCTGTGTCATGGCGAATACAGTCGCTGCTTTATTTATGTCTGTATGGGCCGTTGTTGTGAGTGTGGACGGTCGGAGCATATACAACGTTAGCTTAGCCAATCTCCATTCAGAAAACACGCATTTTAAAAGGTTTCTCGCCTGCCGTCTGTCTGCAGACTTGTCAAAGCATTAATTCATGGTTTTTACTAACCGGTATCAGTATGTTGTTACGTCGGCATCATTTTGAAACGTGTATTACAATTAAATCACGGTCAAATGTTCATCTTGTTGTAGTTGTAGTCCCCTTGCCAGCGATTCTCTCTGACCAATCAGCAGTCGAGTGTTTACGTCACTAGTTTAGCATATTCAGCCCGGTAAGAACCTCGATTTTGGAGGGCCAGAAAAAAGGTGAAAAAGTAGCCCTGAGCCGGGTTTGGCACGGCACGCTTAGACCGTGCTAGGCCCTGCAGTGGAAAAGCGCCATAACGGGTGTTCTGATTAAAAACATGGAGGTGATTCGAGGCTGGACATGGATGTCTTTCGCTGGGGTCTATGTTTGTGAGAATGAAACTTGAATGTAATGTTTATATTCTGGTGTGTTGTCACTGCTCAGGTACGTGTTATTTGACACTATGGAGACGTTAAACATGGGAATATCTGACATGATTGTGGTGTTACAAACTCTGTTTTTAAGTGACGTTCCTCGTGGTCTAAACACGACGGTTCGAAGTGTTTTGGACAGAATATTGACAGAACGATTGTGATTTGTTTCCTGCTTTCAGATAGGGGTTTTCTGTTTTTACTAACTTCTTCTAAGACCAGTCATTACAGTACTTCTTATCTTAAATTGTCCTGAAACTAATGAACCTTTCTGTGTTTCTGCTCAGGTTTTATGGAAAGAATTCGTCCTACGTTCACGGCGGTTTGGACAACAACGGCAAACCAGCTGAGGCTGTTTATGGACAATCTGTAAGTGGATTTATCAACAGTTTTTATACTCTGCACTTCACTCCCACACACCAGCTAAGAGAGGAACACAAAAAACACACAGAGCGGTTTCCTGGAGCCTCTTTTGTCTGAAAAAGACATGTCGTCAGTCTCCTCTTCTTTCTGTTATAACAGCGATTTAAAAAAACACTCACAGTGAATTTCGTAGACATTTGAAAACACGGTTATTTTGACTTGACATGTGTCCTTAACCTGTTTTTTCATGAAACTGTGTCTCAGGGCTTCTTAACATTTAACAACCTATTAATGTGTCATACTCACTTAACGGGAAGAAACTCAGCTAACTGATGATACGAACCATTTTTACCGAAACAAAACACAAGTCTCTCAAGAAGCGTCTAAATGAGCCCTGACCGAAAAATGCTACGCACTTAGCACAGAACTCACAGTAAAAATACCCTTATTACTTATCGTAACTGCACATACAAGATATCAGCTAGCAAACTGAGATTCCACAGATTCCAGAAATGTAAGTATCATCACTGAGCGATCAGAACACGCGACAGGGGAAGCGAAAACAGACATCACAACACGTAGCATTACGGAGCTTTCACGGGACATCGTCTCACCTTAGCCGTTGTTCTGATCAAAAGTCGTGTTCAATGGCATTACAACGATAAAAACGCGGCTGAAGGTTAATCCAATGTGTCTGTCACTTTTTAAATGATTACTGATAATCCATAATTCCATTTTTATGTCAATAACGGAGTTTTCATATATAGCTGCTAATGGTAGCCACCAGAGTGTATCGCAGCTTCCGGTTCGGGGGCATTCTGGCTGCGCATCACTCATTCACCAATGGGTAATGTTTAGATGGATTTTTAGGAACTTCCCCTCGATTCTATTGGCTAACGGTTCAGAAGAAGTGTCAATCATCAAAATCGAAAGATATATGGGAGATATGGAAAATGCACCCAAATGACCCCAGAAGTGGCTTTTTTTTCTAAATCTCTAAAAAGGTCAAATGTCATTTATTTTGCATCGATCTTGATACAGGGTACTTCTTATGTTACAGTTTGGATTCCTAAAGCTTTTAGTCTACCATGCCATCATTCAAGGGTGGTTCAAGGGTGGTTTTCTCTATAAGTCATGTTTGGACGGACATTTTTTTTACTATGTTCCATCTGCATTAACTTTAAAATAAAAAATATCTATATTGATTCTGACTTTTCTACATCCAACTCATCGGGTTATCATTACTTTGAGAAAAAAGATTATTAATTGACATTGAACAATAATGATAATGCCATAGAAAGACCGTTACAGTAATAGCAATGAAAAAGTGAACCAAAATATACAATGACATGACAGAAAACCCCGAAGACCATCCTGTATCGAAAGTGATCATGGCGTCCTCGTCGTCAGGTCATTGATAGTACAGGAAGATGAAGCTGGAAGCCTTTCCCGTGTTTGAAGGATTCTCCGTTCCTATCAGACCCTGGCGCTCCCAAACATTTACAATAACAGATTAAACAAAGTGACCTTTTTTAGACGTGAATACAGTGTTTGTTGTTCATGTGGACGTAAGAGTTAAATGCAAGTAACGCGTCTTACAATCGAGTTTTGGTTCTCACGGACCGTGTTTGGTTTTTGGTACATCCAACTCAAAGGTTTATCATTGCTTTGAGAAAAAAGATTATTAATTTACCCCTTTTTAGAAGTGAATGTCATTTTCGAACCTGAAAACAGGCTCGGGGCTTAACAGGTTAGAGTAGGTAGTTTCCTTTGCCTGTATCTCTTCTTAAATAAGATATCAAATGAGGAGTAAGGCAACAAATATAACCATACAGTTGTGTTATATTGACTATTTCTTTCTGGACTGACCATAAAACAGGCTAAATGTAGCTATATATCAAGATTTGAAGTTGCCTGTATTGGTAGATTTTTGCCCATATTGCTCCGCCTTAATGGAAATCCAATAAAACCGGTTTTTATGCTGAGTAAACGCCACCGAAATAAAACTATCCAGCTCTTTTCAGTAGATGCCAAAACGTACCCAACCTCTACCAAAAGCATCAATTTAAAAACGCTCATAGTGAGTTTCGTAGACACTTGAAAACACGGTTATTTTTACTCTTCATGTTTCCTTTGCCTTTATCTTTTCTTAAATGAGACGTACAATGAGGAAAAAGAGTGTGAACTCAAGCAATATTAGCGGCAGAGATGGTGTGCCATAGGGCTGTGCGATTATGGCAAAAATCATAATCACGATTATTTGGGTCAATAATTGATATCACGATTATTTTGACGATTATTCATTGACCATTTATTGAACTTTAAAACAAATAATATTTTACCAATAAACAAGATCAACAAATATGTTGGAGCGCACTTCCAAAACCATATAAACATATATTATTAATATGATAAATAAAAATAAATTAGACCCAAAAAAATGAAATCAAACATGTTGCAGTGCACTGTCACAACCTACTGAAAACTCCTTAACATATAGCCAACATTTTGGTAAAACATATTCAACATATTCCACTCAGTTAAACGTTGAAGGCTGGCCCACCGTCATGGTCCAGAAGTAACAGGAAATAAATGTTGAACTACAATTTAAGACCAAATAAAAATGTCTAGGCCACCATGGCAAATGCTGGTAGGGCTGCTCATGTCATCTCTTAAAGATTTTTTGCAAGAAACACCAGCCTGTTTACATGGTCTGGTTTCAGAGATGAGCGCAGGCAGGTGACAATATTGCCACCTGTACTGAAGACCCTCAGCCACGCCCCGACACATGGGGTGACGCCGGCCAATCACAAAGCTTTGATGTAGGGCTGTGCGATTATGGCAAAAATCATAATCACGATTATTTGGGTCAATAATTGATATCACGATTATTTTGACGATTATTCATTGACCATTTATTGGACTTTAAAACAAATAATATTTTACCAATAAACAAGATCAACAAATATGTTGGAGCGCACTTCCAAAACCATACTAAACATATATTATTAATATGATAAATACAAATAAATTAGACTAAATAAAATAAAATATGATGCACTGTCACAACCTACTGAAAACTCCTTAACATATAGCCAACATTTTGGTAAAACATATTCAACATATTCCACTCAGTTAAACGTTGAAGGCTGGCCAACCGTCATGGTCCAGAAGTAACAGGAAATAAATGTTGAACTACAATTTAAGACCAAATAAAAATGTCTAGGCCACCATGGCAAATGCTGGTAGGGCTGCTCATGTCATCTCTTAAAGATTGTTCGCAAGAAACACCAGCCTGTTTACATGGTCTGGTTTCAGAGATGAGCGCAGGCAGGTGACGATATTGCCACCTGTACTGAAGACCCTCAGCCACGCCCCGACACATGGGGTGACGCCGGCCAATCACAAAGCTTTGATGCGTTCAAGTGCATTATTCTGGCACAGGAAGATTATGTTACAGGACATTAACGATAAAACAGAATATTGTTGTTCTATTTTTAGACACATCTCGCGATCGACTGGTTGGGCACCCCTGGGCTAGACCATAGGTCTGTTGTGGTAGCAAAGTAGTCAGCTGAAGCCACATCTCTCTCAACTTCCCCACGGCATTTGTCATATAGCGCAGGCAGCGCAGACCTGCTGAAATAATACCGAGACGGCATCGCGTAACGCTTGTCCAACGTGTTGACAAGTTGCTTAAAGCCCTGGTTGCTAACAGTGCTAACTGGGCACATATCTTTAGCGATGTGGAATGTAATGGCAAAGTACTTGCAAATAGTGGAAATAGTTTGACCCTTCTTTTTAACGAGTTGCTGCTCTTGTTCTGACATCTTCGCTCGCGCTGATCACTCACAACACATTTCACTCCCACGTGGCCGAGTGGGCTTTTAGGGAGGGGCGAAAGCGCACCCAGCAAAATAATCGTATTTTGTCAATTATGCTGTTTTCATAATCGTCGCAAACCATAATCGTAATCGCGATTCAAATACGATTAATTGCACAGCCCTACTTTGATGCATTCAAGTGCATTATTCTGGCACAGGAAGATTATGTTATAGGACATTAACGATAAAACAGAATATTGTTGTTCTATTTTTAGACACATCTCGCGATCGACTGGTTGGGCACCCCTGGGCTAGACCATAGGTCTGTTGTGGTAGCAAAGTAGTCAGCTGAAGCCACATCTCTCAACTTCCCCACGGCATTTGTCATATAGCGCAGGCAGCGCAGACCTGCTGAAATAATACCGAGACGGCATCGCGTAACGCTTGTCCAACGTGTTGACAAGTTGCTTAAAGCCCTGGTTGCTAACAGTGCTAACTGGGCACATATCTTTAGCGATGTGAAATGTAATGGCAAAGTACTTGCAAATAGTGGAAATAGTTGTACCCTTCTTTTTAACGAGTGGCTGCTCTTGTTCTGACATCTTCGCTCGCGCTGAACACTCACAACACCTGTCACTCCCACGTGGCCGAGTGGGCTTTTAGGGAGGAGCGAAAGCGCACCCAGCTAAATAATCGTATTTTGTCAATTATGCTGTTTTCATAATCGTCGCAAGCCGTAATCGCGATTAAAATACGATTAATTGCACAGCCCTAGTGTGCCATGACATGTAATATCTTGTATGATGTGTCATGACAAAAGTGTATCCATTAAAAACTGTCTCAATGCCGGAAAACCCCATCGTCAGCACTACGACAGCAGCAGAAATAAAGAAAAATGCATTATTTTGCAAAGATATAAATATTTTAAGGCAATATCACCAACGTCTTATATCCAGGAGTGCAGAGTAAAGTGAAGTCCGCACTGCTCCTGCATTTTGAAGTGGTATATAAATGTCTAATACTTGGAAAAAGCCAGAGCAGCAAATCTTCTTGACGGGCATTATTAGATTTCTCTGAATGTTTTGAATGGGCACTTTTTAAAAACACGGGTTACAATAAAAGCATTTAAAATGAAACTCTTCTGTCCTGGTTGTTGTTGTTGTTGGAAAATGTCCTCTTCCCATATCAGAGCAACATGATAACAAAGGTATCAACTGTAGCTGTGAACATGACAGGATGTGTGATTACCTAGAAGAGCATCAGGACTGTTTGAGGCATATGATAGCTATGTGATTAACATGATGAGTCAGCCTCTATGGAGAGAGACATCAAGCATGCTCATTTCTGACGTGGAGCTAATCTGAAGTAAACATTGAATACTGCTTTCTATTCCTCCATCTTGTGACTGTGTAACTCCCTCTCTTGGATATCAGCATGTGAAGGACACTGTTCAGGAACTACTTGATGTCAGAATTTTTGGTTTTTCAGAAAAAAGTCAGAATTGAGAAAAGGTCTGGATTTTGAAAAGTCTGATTTTTGAGATTTTAAGAAAAAGTAGAGAATTTGAGAAAAAGTCAGAATTTTCAGGAAAAAAGGCAGAATTGAGAAGATTTGCAGGAAAAACATCAGATTTTTGAGAAAAAAAGTCAGAATTTGAGATTTTCAGAAAAAGTCAGAATTTTTAGATTCAGAAAAAATTGAGAAAATGTCCGAATTTTGACATTTTGAAAAAAAAGTCAGAATTTTGGGATTTTCCGTATTTTGTCCATGAAACAATGTATGATTACCTACAATAACTGGTGTTCCTCCATCTTGTGACTGTAACTCCCTCTCTTGGATATCAGTTCCATTGACTCTCTCTTTCCCTCAGGAGATCCATAAGAGGGTAATGGCTCTGAGTTTCCGCGACTGTCACACTAAGATCCGACACGTTGATGCTCACGCAACGCTGAACGAGGGCGTGGTGGTGCAGGTGATGGGAGAGCTGTCCAACAACATGCAGCCCATGAGGAAGTTCATGCAGACCTTCGTTCTGGCACCAGAGGTCGGTTTCACACTTCTAATCCTAATTCAAAGGTTTGGTAACACTTTATTTTAAGGTTCACTTATTCTCCGTCAACTAGTTGTTCATTAACATATTAGAGTCAAACTACTAGCTTATTGGTTATGAACTAGACTTCACTTTAAAATAGGGAACATATTCTGAGTTGGAAACACCTAATTGAGTTATTTTGACACAATTAACACTTGTAGTTTCATATCTTGTTACATAATTATAGACCATATTTGTGAAGTATTAACCAAAACTCATATACAACTACTTTCAATAAATAAGCACTAATTAGAGCAAACAAACTCAACTAATGGCTTAGTACTTGTAGAATAAGGCATTAATACGTTTTTTATAATGACTAATAAAGAGCCAATATACTGCTAATATACATGTTAATTAACAACTACTTTATAAACATGTAGAATATGATATCTACAAGAACAGAATGTGAAATAATGTACATTAAAACAAAATTAAATACGGTTTATTTAATAAACCCAAATATACAATGACATGACAGAAAACCCCGAAGACCATCCTGTATCGAAAGTGATCATGGCGTCCTCGTCGTCAGGTCATTGATAGTACAGGAAGATGAAGCTGGAAGCCTTTCCCGTGTTTGAAGGATTCTCCGTTCCTATCAGACCCTGGCGCTCCCAAACATTTACAATAACAGATTAAACAAAGTGACCTTTTTTAGACGTGAATACAGTGTTTGTTGTTCATGTGGACGTAAGAGACTTCACTTTAAAATAGGGAACATATTCTGAGTTAGAAATATGTCATTTTGACACACTTTCAGTTTCATGTCTTGTTACCTAAGAATAGATCATATTTATTAGGTGTTATTATGAGAGAATTACTATTCGTGTGGTACTAATGGCTTATTAGGCCCATATTGAGCAGAGCATATTAAGACCCAAACTCATGTACAACAACTTCCTTACACTAAATATGCACTAATTAGAGGGTTATTGAGGAAAAACTCGTAACTAACGGTTTAGTACTTGTAGAATATGGTCATGTAGAATAAGGCATTAATAAGTGTTTTATAATGACTAAAAAAGACCCAATATATTGCTAATATAGATGTTAATTAACAACTAGTTGATGGTGAATGTGTGTACCTTAAGGTTACCGTAGGTTTTAATGTCTTACAAAATATGTTTTAATTATCACTTTATTTTTGCTGTATTTTGATTTTGTAATCTATTTTATTTTATGTGTGAATCCTGTTTTTCATTCTGTCAATGTTGCTGCTATTAACGCCTGAGTTTCCCCACGGGGATACATAACGTTTCATCTTAACGTGTCTTATATGCACCAAGCTACAGAGTAGAAATGGCAATGGAATTCTTCTGACCTGAGCTCCTCCAACAATGCAACGTATATAATAAAATACAAATAAGAAATATTGCAAGAAGTCTATACACATGTAGAATATTATATCTACAAGAACAGAATGTGAAATGTACATTAAGACTAAATTAAATACGGTTTATTGCGGTGATAACTAAGTAGATTGCAAGATGCCAAACAGATGAATGTTTATCGGGTCTTACAGCCTTCGAGACCCTTTACAGTCAGGGTTTGGCATCCTTAGGTTGAAATAAATGTATTTTTGGGTGTTTTCTTGCAGGAAAAGTTGATGTAGTTTTTAACGGTATTTGTTCGTCCTGCAGGGAACTGTTGCGAACAAATTCTACGTTCACAACGACGTGTTTCGTTACCAAGACGAGGTGTTCGGAGACTCCGATTCAGAGCCTCCAGAAGGTGAGAGAACGCCCATCTTTTTAAATGTTTCTTAGGTTGTAATTGTTGATGCTTCACCAGGTTTCTCTTTCCTGCTGCTTTGTAGTCTTCTCCTTTTTAGATATGATCCTTTACCTTGCATTATTCGGCTAAAGATGGTTAATTCAGAGTTGTTTTCTTTAGAAATGTCACAACGTGTATAAACACCGTAGCATCTTAGATTTGATTGGTCTTTGTACCTCTCAAAGAACCTCTCAATGTTTGGGACATTAGGTGAAAGGTACATGAAGCAACAAAACCAACGTGAGGTCAAAATAGGTCCACGGTCCCTGCAGCTTATTAAGCCGACCAGTTGTGCTGTCAGTGCGTTTCTGGTGTGCAAAGGCTGCACACAGTGAATCTTTGGTTTGTGTAAGAACTCAGCTGGGAGGTGCGGAGTGCTTTAAGGGACCACTGAGACAAAAATCCATCTATCTCTCCATCCATCCGTCTATCTATCTCTCCATCTATCTATCTCTCCATCTATCTATTTCTCCATCTATCTATTTCTCCATCTATCTATCTCTCCATCTATCTATTTCTCCATCTATCTATCTCTCCATCTATCTATTTCTCCATCTATCTATTTCTCCATCTATCTATTTCTCCATCTATCTATTTCTCCATCTATCTATCTCTCCATCTATCTATTTCTCCATCTATCTATTTCTCCATCTATCTATCTCTCCATCTATCTATCTCTCCATCTATCTATTTCTCCATCTATCTATCTCTCATCTATCTCTCCGTCTATCTATCTCTCATCTATCTATCTATCTCTCATCTATCTATCTATCTCTCATCTATCTATCTCTCCATCTATCTATCTCTCCATCCATCTCTCCGTCCATCTATCTCTCCATCCATCCGTCTATCTATCTATCTATCTCTCCATCTATCTATTTCTCCATCTATCTATCTATCTCTCCATCTATCTCTCCATCCATCTATCTATCTCTCCATCTATCTCTCCGTCTATCTATCTCTCCATCCATCTCTCCATCTATCCATCTATCTCTCTATCCATCCATCTATCTCTCCATCCATCTCTCCATCTATCCATCTATCTCTCTCTCCATCTATCTCTCTCTCCATCTATCTATCTCTCCATCTATCTATTTCTCCATCTATCTATCTGTCTATCTATCTCTCCATCCATCTCTCCATCCATCCATCTATCTCTCCATCCATCTATCTATCTATATAAAACAATGTATTATATTACATTATTGCCTGTGCATTGGATTATTATCAGATTGGGAAATAACTCTGTCTGAAAGCAGAAGTCTAGGGAAAATAACTGCAAGTCTCTTCAGTGCGCATGTCACCAAATGAGATGCATTGTGGGACATGTAGTTTATGGACACCTTGCTTCTGTAAAGCGGCATGTAACCGTATAATAAACTCATTATATTCTTTGCAAGCAACATAGAATGAAGTCGTGGGCTTTTGACACCCCTGCTATAAAGCGTCATGAAGTGTTGCATTGTGGGTTTCTTGGCATAGTTTTCAGAGTTCAATAGAAAAAGGGTTCTTTTTGTTTTCCTGATCATGTTTTTATTGTTTGTGTGTTTCCAGAGTCTGAGGATGAGGTGGAGGAGATCGAGGAGAGGATCCCCTCCCCTGACATCGCTCAGGAGGACTCGGCTCCTTTCTACGACCCCACACCCTGGTGAGGATCTTTTACTTCCTGTTAGGGCTTTATCTGAGGTTGTGGAGAACAATTGTCCCCCAAAAAAATCAGTAGAATCAGCAGATATTTTCCTTCCAGTTCAGAACCGATGGCCCCCGGAGACGATGAGGAAGTTGCAGCGAGTCCAGAACCAGAACCTGAGGAGGAGAAGGAGGTCGAGGTCGTGGAGCTGAAGCCTGAAACGCCGCTGGAGACGCAAACGGAAACAAACACATCGGACGAGCAGACAGAGAAAAGCCCGGCCACCGCCCCCCCCCACAGCTGAACCCATCGTCGCCGAACCAACACCTGCCGCTCCAGAAGAAAACAGGGTACGTCTGAACATGCTGCATTGGGGGGAAATAGTTGTGCACAGAGGATGTATTTGTGTAGTCCGACCCAGAAGGAAACATCTCCCTGGTTCCCTCCACAAAAAAATCTATTTCTCCACTTGATTTTGGATTGTTGCAGAAAATGACAAACGTTTATGATCCTTACAAGTTGAGTTCATCAGGATAATCTCCACACATTAACACCAGTTTATGATTACTGTAGTAAAAAGCTAATGTTGGGCTATAAAGGAACTACAGCAGGGTCACATGACTTCACGTCACCACCGCTAAGCTAAAGGTGGCTAATGTTGGGCTATAAAGGAAGTACAGCACGGTCACATGACTTCACGTCACCCCCGCTAAGCTAAAGGTGGCTAATGTTGGGCTATAAAGGAACTACAGCACGGTCACATGACTTCACGTCACCACCGCTAAGCTAAAGGTGGCTAATGTTGGGCTATAAAGGAAGTACAGCACGGTCACATGACTTCACGTCACCACCGCTAAGCTAAAGGTGGCTAATGTTGGGCTATAAAGGAACTACAGCACGGTCACATGACTTCACGTCACCACCGCTAAGCTAAAGGTGGCTAATGTTAGGCTATAAAGGAACTACAGCACGGTCACATGACTTCACGTCACCACCGCTAAGCTAAAGGCGGCTAATGTTAGGCTATAAAGGAACTACAGCACGGTCACATGACTTCACGTCACCACCGCTAAGCTAAAGGTGGCTAATGTTGGGCTATAAAGGAACTACAGCACGGTCACATGACTTCACGTCACCACCGCTAAGCTAAAGGTGGCTAATGTTGGGCTATAAAGGAACTACAGCACGGTCACATGACTTCTCGTCACCACCGCTAAGCTAAAGGTGGCTAATGTTAGGCTATAAAGGAACTCCAGCACGGTCACATGACTTCAAGTCACCACCGCTAAGCTAAATGTGGCTAATGTTGGGCTATAAAGAAAGTACAGCATGGTCACATGACTTCACGTCACCACTGCTAAGCTAAAGGCGGCTAATGTTGGGCTATAAAGGAACTACAGCACGGTCACATGACTTCACGTCACCACTGCTAAGCTAAAGGAGGCTAATGTTGGGCTATAAAGGAACTACAGCACGGTCACATGACTAAATGTCTCTCTCTCTCTCTGTCTCCCTGCAGCAGTTCTCCTGGGCGTCCGTCACCAGTAAGAATCTTCCTCCCAGTGGAGCCGTTCCAGTTTCAGGGGTCCCTCACGTCGTCAAAGCCCCCACAGCACCGGTACGTCTCCTAAAATATCTATAGGATGTGATAATCTATCTGACAGCAGTCTGTATGATTTCAGTCTTTGAAGAACCTGTTAACGCAACTACTTTATAGTTTTTGCTACGAGATGTTATTTTCAAACTGAGGCTGGGTTGCACTTCCAAAATGTTGTTTGATATCTTTGAGATAGATATGAAGCCTTTTTATGATGTTTATGATCAAAGTTATATCCCTCCCGTCTCCCAGCAGAGAAGCTGCTCCGTTTCTAACAAAGTGTGTTTCTGTTTCTAACAAAGTGTGTTTCTGTTTCTAACAAAGTGTGTTTCTGTTTCTAACAAAGTGTGTTGTTGTTTCAGCCGAGAGCCGAGGTGAAGTCAGAGACTCAAACAGCAGCAACGAGACCACAGAGAGACCAGAGACCGAACAGAGAACAGAGACCAGGAGGACCTCCACCAGTACACAGAGGACCCAGACCAGGTACACACACCAGTGTTTCCCCTAGGAGTCATAGCAGCGGTGCTGAGGCAGCAAAATGTGATCGTGGAGTGCGTGGAATTTCTTTGTGTGAAGTGCGCCCCGCCAATATGTTTCTATGTGTCTGCCAGCACAAGAAAGGCTCTTGAGGTGCATGAAGTGGCAATGTCTCAAGATTTAGCAAAATACACCTTTATAGAACATACAGTAACACAAATACTACAAAGGGAGGTGTGTGGCGCAGTGGGTTGTGTGTTGGGGTCAGGGGAGCACAGGTTCAAACCCCACTGCAGTCAGCATGTCGTTGTGTCCCTGAGACAGTTCACCCCAAATTGCTCCTGTGGGGATTGCTCACAGTATTGAGTATGAAAGTCGCTTTGGATAAAAGCGTCTAACAAGTGGCCTGTAATGTAATGATCCACATAACGAACATTCAAAAAGAGCGCTAGGGGGCGCCACTTATTATTATTTAAATAAATAAAATATATATATATATTTTTTTACCTGTCTGGCCCCCTAGCAGCGGCGCGCATATTGATGCTGCGCCGCCGCTATTTGTATATAAGGGAAACACTGCACACACACTTCATAAACACACACAGGTTAAACTGGCGTGATGTGCATATATACACCTTTGTTCTTGTATCCTGGTCATCTCGTTTCATGTACTGTATGTATTTATTCTATATTCTCTCAGTGCGGGAAGGAGAGCAAGGAGAGACGGAGAGTCGCCGCGTGGTTCGATACCCCGACGCCCAGCAGCTGTTTGTGGGGAACGTTCCTCACGATGTGGACAAGACGGAGCTCAAGGAGTTCTTTGAGCGTAAGTCTCACACATTATATATATATTGGCAAGAAAATCTACAAGAGATTGTACAGTGCAATCAGAGAGATACATTATGTCCACGTTTTTGAGCATGTCCACGAATCCAGTCTTTGTCAAGTCTGTCACCACCTTCGCATAGCTGCTGGCGCCACTTCATCCGGTCCTCCGCCAGCCTCTCCCAGTTGTCCGTCGCAATGTCCAGAGCCTTCATGTCACGTTTTACGACAACCTTGAAGCGCAGCAGTGGCCGTCCTGTGGGGAAATTCAGTTGTTGTACCTGCTGTGAGAGTGAATTAAACATGTGTCTGTCCCCCCCCCCCCTCTTCTACAGAATATGGTACAGTCCTGGAGCTGAGGATCAACAGCGGAGGGAAACTTCCAAACTTTGGTTTCGTGGTGTTCGACGACTCTGAACCCGTTCAGAAGATCCTGAGCAACCGGGTGAGACGAATACTCTGAATAGCTGTTGTTATTCAATCTTTTACTGGATGCTGCATCATTTATTTGTTTAGAAACCACCCAGAGCTCCTTTCTGTTCAGTCTGCTCCTGTATTGTGCAAGAAATGATACCATCTAAGCATTTGGTTAATAACATAAGCAGGTGCTGATTAATACAGGTGAAAAGTGCAGAGGGAAATACATCGACACAGATTGCAGGAAATAAAACGGATAAAAGATTTATTCCTGCCCGTTAAGTTATCCAATCAGAATCGTTTGTTCAACCAAACGGATTTAAATAACATTAATCAGCTGTTTAGATCGGGGTGACTTTGACCTACATGTAATTGAGTTTTTTAAAACACATTAGAACAAACATTTTGAAACTTCACCAGAAATACTGAGCAATCTGACTTGTTTTTATTATCCTGAAATCAGGTTGTTTTCTGGAGAGAAAAAAACGTTTATTCTAATTTCAAATTAAACTAAAATAATGACCAGGTTTTTTGTTATTAAAGTTTTTATTTATGAACATACATGCTACATAGCTCACATGGTACAGCATACAGAAAGAGGAAGGTCAGGCTACAAAACATTTGAGTGAGGTGTTCCTGGTTAAAAGAAAACAATTAGATTACCAATCAGACCCTACAGCGATCATAACATAATAACAAACGATGCTTAGAATCAAAGACCAGGTTTTTAATCTTTAACCCTTATTTTGTGTGTCCTCCCCCTCAGCCCATAATGTTCCGAGGCAGCGTGCGTCTGAACGTTGAGGAGAAAAAGACCCGTTCGGCTCGGGAAGGCGACCGACGGGACGTCAGGCCTCGAGGTCCTGGGGGTCCTGGAGGTCCTAGAGAAAGGATCGGAGGTGGAGGAGGAGGAGGAAGAGGAGGAGGAGGAGGCCCCCCCACCCGAGGAGGCATGGCACAGAAACCCAGCTTCGGCTCTGGACGAGGAGCGGGGCCCAGCGAGAGTCGCTACCCTAACCCGCGCCAATAAAAGGCTCGTTCAGCGGCCCCCCCAAAACACCCAAAACCCCTCCAACCTGAGTTAGATTTACTCTCTGGATTCAACTGCAGCAGGAAGCAATCGGACAACAAGCTAAAATATTACTTTACATCGTAGTGGTATAAAAACATGAGTCCAGTCATTTTAGGGTACACACACACACACCATCACACACACCAACACGCACACACAGGCATACACGCAGGTTCCACCTGAGTAACTTATCAGTTTTGGTTGAGAGCTCTCCACATCCCCCCTGAAGATGGCTTCTTCCTCTTCCTCACCCTCCTCTTCCTCCCCTGCTGCTCTGTTTCCCGCTGAGGAATCCAGAATGTCCTTCCTCCTCCTCCTCATCTCTTTTTGTTTACCCCTCTCTCCTCCACCAACACATGAATTATCTGGACTTTTTTTTTGTCTTTATTCTTTTAGTTTTTTCCATTGCTGAACTTGAATTCATTAAGAAACAAACACGCTAACACACGAGAAAAAGGGTAAATACTACTTGAATTGGGGATTAAAAAACCCAGAGGTTAGGTTTTTTCGCGTTCTCTCTCCCTGTTTCTTAAAGGAACGTGTACTTTACTGCTTGGGCAATCCTGTGTATTGCTGCCACCGTTGTACCTGGCGATGGATCTGTCTTATCTTTTTATTCTATCAGGTCAAGAGCTGAACTGTCGTGGTTTTTATTTGAGTAATGTTGGCTTGTTAAACATGTGACAGACGGACATCCGAGCGGAGCGTGTTTCAGATCATGTATCAACAATCCTGTCAGGCTTCTTTACCGATGCACTTCATTTGTCATCACGTTTAAAACGAGCTCACCTGCCGATGAGAGAACTAAATTAAAAGTGATTTACTGTTTTAAAACCTGTCGTCTGTTTCGTGGTGTGTTCACTGTCTTCTCTTGTACCGGGAAAAATTGAACTTTTAAGCAGAATCAGGTTTATCACCAGGTAGGTTGACAAGTACGAGGAATTGACTTGGTGTCGTGGTGCGTGCATACAAGTAAAAACAAGCAGTAAAAACAGAACTAGGAAAATATAATGGTATTAGAAATTTAATACAAATCGGCAGTAATAAAAAACAACAGATATTGTGTGCGTTAATGTATATTAAAAACACTGTGAACGGGAGAACTTGTCCGGTCTTAAACCTTTACTTCGAATATGTTATGAATAGCTTGGTTTCACGTGACGTCACACCGTTGCGTTCCTTTGGCGCGAAATTCCATTGGAGGTCAGGAAGTAATTTTCTACAGAGGATCTAGCTGCTGTTACCATTGTGAAAATGCCGGTGTGTTGTGTAGTTTACGGTTGTTCCAATCGATCCGGCCGAGAGAAAAACAAGAGGTTTTACCGAGTGCCGAAGGTTGTCGTCCATAAAGCTGAGCAATTTAAGAAGCTAACCGAAGAACGCCGGAAAAAATGGCTTTCAAACCTACATCTGCGGTAGGGAGGAGCAGAGTCGTCTAATGCACGGGTCTGCAGCGACCACTTCATCAGAGGTATTAGCTAACTTGGTTTTTGTGGCTTTGTTTAGGTATTATTGGGTTGTGGTTAAATGCGTATTTACTTAGTAATACTGATCATGTTTAAGTTACCTGTAGTCTAATATGGACTTTGTTGGGACTTTTTAGGGTGCCCTAGCGCTTTGGGTGACGTTAAGTCGGTAGACTGGGCTCCCACTGTTAGCCTCGGTTACCACACAACAAGTAAGCCCAGATCAGAGGCATCTCTTCGACGAGAGCAGAGGATGAAGCTCAAGGAAGACCAACAAAGACAATCAGAATGTGCAGAGGCTTTGTTGGATCTCCTGCAGACAACCGAGAGCCTAGAACCGACGCAGCCCCCGTCTGACAGCCCACAGCCAGAGGACACCAGTGGGATATTAAATGACCAACAAGGTAAATTAACCACCAGCATTATTATTAAATATTACAAATGTGATTGTCAGAAAATCAATGCAAACTTTGAATTAGGTTTAGAAAATAGAGCACTAATTTGAGAATCTGCAATAATTGGAACAGAGAACTTGCATGTCTGTAAAAAGGTTGTCAAAAAGATAACTTCACAAAAATTCACATTCATATTTGACTATTTTAAATAACTAATTATGCTTGCTACTGCTATATTGTATGCAGATGCAGGATGCCAGACTGATTTAACGATGGAGGACATCGAGAGGATGTTCTGAGACAGAACACAACAGAGCTGGGAGATCTTCGGACAAAGGCACTGGACACAAAGTTCAACCAGGAGTCCTTTGAGAACAACGAAGAGAAAACAAAGTTTTACACCGGGCTCCCCAACTTCTTAGTTTTACTTCAGGTTTTTCAACTGTGCGAGCCCTACATCACCTGTGGCCCTATGTCTGTGCTCTCCAAATTTGAACAGTTCATTTTAGTTTTGCTGAGGCTGAGACTAAATCTCCCTCTGAAAGATTTGGCTTTCAGGTTCAACATCTCTCTCTCCACTGCTTCTAGAATTTGGCATAAGTTAATTTACATACTTCACGAGAGTACAGAATTTATAATTGAGTGGCCAGAGCGACATGTACTTCAAGCTACAATGCCAATGGGATTCAGACAGGCATTTGGATGTAGAGTTGCTGTGATTGTTGACTGTTTTGAAGTTTTTATTGAGAGGCCCTCTAATTTACTAGCTAGAGCACAAACATGGTCCAACTACAAGCATCACCATACTGTTACATTTCTGATTGGTGTTGCTCCCCAAGGCTATGTTACCTACATATCTTGTGCCTGCGGAGGAAAAGTTAGTGATACACAGATCACAATACAGAGTGGGCTCCTAAACAACCTGTTACTTGGAGATATTGTCCTAGCAGACCGTGGGTTCGATATTGGCGATAGTGTGGGATTTTACTGTGCTTCACTAAAGATGCCTGCATTCACCAGGGGGAAAAGTCAGCTGTCAGCATACGAGGTGGAAGAGACAAGAAAAATAGCTAATGTGCGTATTCATGTTGAAAGAGTCATAGGATTAGTCAGAAGAAAATATCAGATTCTGCAAAGCAGGGCTGTGCCCATAGAGCACATGCTAACAAAACCAGGTGAGCCACTAGCATTAATTGACAAGATTGGGGTTATTTGCTGTGCCTTGTCTAATCTGTCAGTGTCTGTCGTCCCATTGGAGTAAAGTCATGGAGCTGTAGTCTTGTAAATAAGAAACCATGTATTATTCAGTATCATTTAATCTTTTCAGTAAACATCTTTTTGTGTTGAAAATTGTGTAGCCCTACTCAATATACAACTTTCATCTACATTCAGGCTTAATTCATTCAACAATATTCTAGAGATGACAATTGGTCTGGTGACGCTCCCATGTATGGCCATTGAGGGTTATTGTAAATGTAAATAAGAAACCATGTATTATTCAGTCTTAGTATCATTTAATCTTTTCAGTAAACATCTTTTTTACAATAGCAATATATCACACAGCCCTACTTCCTCTAGTGAGTGTGGTCAGTGAATATGAAGGTGCTGTAATGCAGGTTAAAGAGCTGCCACTGTGCAAATGTTACGTTCCCTTGTAAATATAGGGGTACAAAGGGAAGTAGCGACACACAACATAACCGGCCGAGAGAAAAAGGAGAGGTAACTGATCTGACGCCATAAAGTGGTCTTTTAATTAACACAACGAAAAAGGGCTCACCAGCCAACTTGTCAAACAAAGCTTAAGATAAGGGGAGAGCGACTGCAACCTTCCTCATGTCCTATATGGAGGCGCTGATTGGAGATTGGGAGCACCTGGGGAGATCAGAGGGAGAGAGAAAAAGACACCCACACACACCCAAACACCAGCACCCACTACGGCACGTAATAATAATGCAACAAGGAGAGAACCATAACTTCCGGGACCAGGACAGTCCACAGGTGCTGGTAATCACGCCTTCTCTCCCTCCTGATCATCTTGCAACTGAAACTGAAAAATGGAACAGCAGACAGGGAGAGGAGGCTTTTAGTCACCTGATAGTTATGCACTAACATGTTCTTGTGGAAAAAAATGAGCACACCAACTCTTTATGACTTTTACCTTTCCCCTTGTAAGTTGCTGTCCCAACACTTCAGGGAGAACACATAGTCTGAAGAAACGCTCAACTCTGGGAATGATGTTGTCCCACAGGTCCACATCACGCACAATTCTCTCTACAAAGAGGTCCTTTTTAGTCCAGACAACAAAGTCGCAGTAGTCAACATCAACGAGGTGGAGCTGAGCCTGTACTTGATGGTAGTAGGCATGTCTCCTGTCCATCTTCACAGTGCCCCCATCGTTGACGAGACAGAAGCCCTGTTCTCCAGCACACAGGCGAAGATTGGCCTCCTCTTGTTTGCTGTGTGGGCACTAAAAGTTCAATGAAAAGAAAAGTAATATATTGTACTGTAAATAAGTGTCTGCAGCTCAAAACGTATTGGGAGAGGATCCCCAGACTCAGGATCACGTCACAATCCTATACTTACCCGCTTTACTGTAGCACAATACTGAACAAATAACTTACCTTTATCTCACAGATACCAGTTCCATGGCAGGTGCACGTGACACCTCCGTCTGGCGACGCTCCCATGTATGGCCATTGAGGGTTCAGCCAAAGCCCGCTGTCTTTACAGCTGAAACCCTGGTGGTGCAGACTTTGTACTCCTTCATACTGCTTTCGGGCAGTTGCCTCGTATTTGTGTACACACACACACACAGTATTTTTATGCATTGAATATTTTGTGAATCATGTTTTGTAATGATAATGAATTTAGTTATAAGTTACTTGTACTGTAACTTACTGATATACGTGATATAATCAGCGTATACCACGGGTAGAATTGTAAGTTACTTTTCACAACAAGTCGGTATCCCTCCGCGTCTGAGAAAAACTGTATACAGTTTGCTTTTCTGATTGGCTCCCTAATCCCTAATAAATACCTTGTTGCAGCTGTAGAGAACTTGTATGCCTCTGGGTAGCATATGGACTTGATCAAGGACTTTGATGGCTGTGCAAGACTAGTCTGGAGAACCTGCTTCAGTCTTGAGGCTGTGATCCTTCCTGCTCTTTGGCTAAACCATATTGGTGATAAGCTCTGGTTTCTGGTCTCCTCCTCTACTGCCTGGACCTGTGGCTGTGTCAGCTCTTCCTGTCTGAAGTCCTGGCATGCATTCTGCAACTCTGTTGGGGATAGCTGTAGCATCTCTGGTGTCCTATACTGAGGTAGTGGTTTAGGTAGCTTGCTCACAGATTTAGGGACAAATTCTCTGTAATATGGTTCCCTGGACATCAGTGCAGCACTTCTTGGGGAATTTCTGCTCAAAGTCTTGAAAAACTGCATATACCTCTCTGATCCTCGCTCCAATTTTGAACCCTGGACTGTGGGACGCTGAAATGTGTGCTTCTCACCTGTCCTTCCAGCAATGGCATCATCCAGTTTTTGCTTTTTGGATTTTGCGGATGAAAAGTCTATCATCGCAACTGGAGCAGCAGGAATCTGCACATGTGAGAGACAGACCAACATGTATGTGAACATACATGTAGGTGCAGTGTAACAATGAGACAGGCAAGGACGGCATGAACAGCTGACTGACCACTGGGGTCTGAATACCTTTTTGACATGTGATGGCATTAGCCACTTGCACTTCTCAGTGGTGCAGGATGCAGTCTCTCTCATCTTCACACCTGCTTCGATTGCAAACAGAACTGCTCCAACATGTGAGCAGGATTCTGACAAACTGTATAGACAGAGACATACTAGAATAACTAGATTGATCGTAAAAGCTAGTAATGGTATAACATGAATATTATAGCAGGCATTATTTTGTCTGAGCTTAAGTGTTGTGTCAAATATGCTTTGGGTTGGGATATTTATTTTATGACTTACCCAGCCATACAGTTACAGTGTGCTGTAACAACCTCTCCATCTTCTTTAGCTACAATCCACGTTTGTAATGGTGTTTCTCCAGACCTCTGGGAATGGTTGACCTACACAATTGAAGCTCCAGTTCACAACTTGCGAGTTGGTAACATACATTTAACAACATCACAAGCAACACATAACCAGATGGTCTTGGTAAAGAGGTTGTTTTTAATATTAACCTCAACATAGAGTGATATAAACAACGTGCAGGCTGTTCAAAGGCTCTGAGCTGTCTATACACACAACACAATATATCCTAAGCTAAACACATAACAAACATACACATATATACACACACAACACACTCACAGGCCAGTTAATGCTGAAGGCAAGGCGACAGCCGTAACACTGCCTTACATGAGTCCATGTAGCTAAAGTTAGCTAGCTAGATGTCTCCTAATAATGCTACTTAGAGGTAATATAAGAAGGTATAGGTAGTTAACACTCACCCGGGCAAAAACAAGGCGACATTTGTTTAATGCCTCTTTGGTGCCGAGGTCATTCACCCATCCACCCACGAAGTAGTTGAAAGCTTCCAGGCTTGTATACGCTTGCATCTGGCTAGCCGTGTAGTAGGAGGTATGAAGGACGAGGTAGCTGGTGATATCCATCGCCTGGACAGCGGGCAAATCGGATAAATCACAAGAAAAGTCGTTTTTTTTCAGCTGATACGGATCGTATCCGATGTGTGCTGTGATTTTTTCACGATATCTGCGGCGTGCAGGTTCATTTAATTGTTTGACATAGTCGGTGTCCTCCATGATTCCTGCGTTGATGAATGATTGCGTTTTCACTTCCTGACCTCCACTTGAATTTCGCGCGTCATAGAAGTCACGTGACTGAAACCAAGCTATTGTACAACCCTGTCTCCTAAAAATTACGTTCCCACAGGACTAAACTGCATTCTCAATTACGTTTAGCTAGAAACGTATTTTCTCCCACGTTACGTTCGTTATGAACGTATCTCAAATATGTTTATTTTCTACATATCTTCTAGAAACATATTTTCTCCCACGTTACGTTTCTTATGAACGTATCTTAAATACGTTTATTTTCTACATATCTTTGCCATTTATTGTCTTATAATAATGATAATAGTCATTTATAAATATAATTTTAGAGCACACATTTGAAATCAGTAGGCGAGGCTGTAATCTCGCCAGCTGTTACTCTCAGGAGCGAGGCAGAAAATAATAGTTTTCTCGTGCCAAAAAGCTGCTGTGTCGTTTTATTGCACCTCAAACATTAAAACAAATCCAGTGACGTGTTTCTGTACTTCCTCTAAGAAGACAGTAACAGAAGATCTCTGTGACGCCAGATGTGGTGTTGTTAATGCAATATTTTATCCGAAAACAAATTCAGTTTAGGATGGCCGAAGACACTACACTACCCATAATCCCCAGCTGTCGTTTGGGACTTCAGTCCCGTTGACAACCCCCGTGATTAATCTTCAAGCTCTGGGATTGGATGTTGGAGTGGCAGTGTGCCAAGGTTACGCCGAGCATCAAGCTCTTTGAAATGGAACGAAACCACGGCAGACTATTCAAAACTGGACTTGAACGCCCCCCCAGAACTACACATGCTGGCTATTGTGTTTCGCAACATGTTCTCTATGGCACGTCTCTACTGGGAATTGTAGTTTTAAAAGACGTTTTCGTTTTTCCCAAAATTAGAAGTTAACAGTATTAAACTGTGTACAGCCCTGGAGGTTTAGGCGATAGGAAACACATTGGTGTGTACAAATGTAAAACATGTAATTACTAAATGGGTGAAAATCGCTTAATCGGCAGCATTAATATATACCCACATGACAGCTCATTGTTACTTTGTAATTCTACTCCACTACAATTCAGAGGTGAACCTGGTATTTTTACTGCACTACATTTATTTTAGTTACTTTGCAGATTCTGATTAATGATGTGAAATGGAGGTGGACGAGGGCAAGTACTGCGGCATGGTGATGCTGGACCTACAAAAGGCTTTCGACACTGTCAATCACCCCATTCTGATTGACAAGCTAAAAGCAATTGGTTTTGATAAGCTATCGGTGAGCTGGATGCAATCCTACCTGGAGGGGAGAGAACAGATGGTGGAGGTAAATGGTACTCTGTCCCCCCCCCTCCCAGTGAGCTGTGGTGTTCCACAAGGGTCCAATATTGGTCCGTTACTGTTCCTAATTTATGTAAATGACATGTCATCAGCATGTGACTGCAACTTGTTCCTGTTCGCGGACGACTCAGCCCTGCTGGTCTCTGACAGGAACGGATTGCAGGTTGAAAAAACCCTCAGCTCCGAGCTCGGCAGAATCTGCACCTGGCTCGCCGATAATAAATTATCATTACACCTGGTTAAAACAGAGTCCATTCTCTTCGGTTCGAAACATAATCTCAGCAAATCCGACGACTTCTCAGTTGCAGTGGGCGACATTATTGTCACAAGTAAGAAGGAAATTACATACCTAGGATCTATTCTTGAGGCAAACCTCTCCTGTGATAAAATGGCATCCAATGTAATAAAAAATGTCAATCAAAGAACTAGATTCCTATACCGGATCTCTTCTCTGGTAAACAAAAACACCCTGAAAACTCTGGCAGGAGCACTCATTCAAGGGTACTATGACTATGCTTGCACGTCATGGTACCATAGCACCTCCAAGGCGCTAAAAATAAAACTTCAAACATCGCAAAATAAACTGGTCAGACTACTGCTTGACCTTTCATCTAGAACCCACCTCACCTCTGCCCACTTTGACAACCTAGGATGGCTTAGAGTAGACGACAGAGTACAGCTACTTGCAATGGGCCTGGTCTACAAGATCCACTACACCTCTATGGTACCCATGTACATGTCAAAATTCTTCCCAAAGGTCAAGGAATACCATGATCATAACACCAGAGGGAGCTCCACAAATCATGTGAAACCCAGATTTGGCACAAAAAAGGGGGAATACACGTTTCGCAATTATGCCACATCAAGGTGGAACGCTCTTCCCACAACTGTAAAGGAAAGTAAAACTATACTTACCTTCAAAACCTCTCTTAAAGAGCACCTTCGGGGGAGAGCATTGCAAAACTGGCCCCGGTAATGGTACAAATCTCAACCTGTCGTTCAATGGACAGCTTCCCCCCCCATCTATGTATATACTCGCATTTTAGACTGTTACTAACTGTATATCTGTAGACTTGGTATGTCTTAAATGTCCGGTTAGGATGTATTAGAACGAAATCTAAAATGAAAATTGTAAACAAGCAATCTGTATGTAAAAAACCACCTGTATGTAAATTGTAAATAAGCCATCTGTATGTCTTATATGTCTTAAATGACATGATGAATTGGAAATGGGGGACCCTGATGTAAACAAGACGAAAGTCTTTCTCTGGTCTGCATCCCCTTAACAATTGTATGTTTTGAGCTGTACTGTACTGTACCCAATATACAAGCTGTTAATAAACTTTTCAATCAATCAATCAATCAATCAATCAAACAGCGACGGACATTCCCGGGGTTTCCTCAGAAGTAATCTGGAAGGAAACTGAACACAACGTGTCCACTTCTGTCTCACCTGCACCATACAGGTTGGTAAACTGTGCATAAATCATATGAACCCCCCCCCCCATAATGTTCGCGTATATAGTGTGACGGCCCACTAAAAGTGTGGAGTGTTTGTAGCGCTGTTTACATGTTAAAATAATTTATGAATGTGTGTGCGTATTAGTTTATCTTTCCCCATGCGGCGCCATCTTGGGGATAACGTGGTCTGACACGGAGATGGTGCGAGTGAGATCGTGTGTCTGAAGGCTCCCGCCCACTAAATATTTCCATACATGTGAAGTTATGAATAAATATGCACCTTATGAAAGGTATAGTTTAGGTAGTGTTATACTGGATGTTTGTTACACAAGTATGCTGTAGTGTTTGTAGCATTATGATTCTCTAGTTTAAATGCATTTTTGTGACCTGCAATGAATGGCAGAAGGGTAATTACAGTTTCAAGGGATATTTAATACAGGTTTAATACTGTAAAACAAGATGCATGAAAGGTACAAAAAGATTAGTGAATGTAAAGTTCAGCTTAAATGTGTGTTTGTCACAGTAGGGGTTATTGACAGTGGATGTGTGTTGATGGAGCTGTCAGAAAAGTGAATGATTAAGTAAATACACTGAAATGCATAAGAGAATTAAGATGTTTAAATAAGTTTGTGTAATAAAACTACCAACAGAAGTAATCTGGAAGGAAACTGAACACAACGTGTCCTCATTACTTCTGTCTCACCAATCTCATAAAAAAACGTGTAATAACTACGTTGGTCCACAACGTAGGACGTAGTATTTCTACAAAAACGCCTCTGAAATTGTAAGATCCCTACCTTTTTTTTCACCATTCATTTCAATGGCTGGCGTCTATGTCACGTGATCTTCACATTTCTCCCTGCAGAGAAAAAAAAACATGGCCGACCTTCGTTTTATTCTCGGTGTAAAATGCCTATTTTAAAGTTAGTTTGGCCATTAAAATGCGTTTTGATGTCATTTGATGCGAGAAATATGAGTTGTTATTTCAGATTATGTGTGCAGTGGATCTACATGATCTTTAGTTTGCTAGTTATTACGAACATTACTTCAGGAAATTGTGTCGATACAACGTTTTCATTGTTACCAAGGTGGTTGCTAGGGATGCTGCTATCGATTTTATTTCTGTTATGTTGTGTAACTGTTTAATGGTGTTATCTTTATTGCTACCCCCTTCCCCGTCAACGTATAGTGTTGGTCCACAGCGCAAACGCATTAGTTTAACAAAATCTGCATCTAAAATTGTGGCATAGATAGCCTTTAGGATTACCCACATTTTTGTATGTGGTTGTGGATACAGCCCTATCTTCACTTGATGAGAGGTTTCAGCACCTTGAAGAGGTAAATGACAAGTTTGGAGTGCTCATCAACTTTCCCACCACATCAAACGAAGAACTGTCAAACCCTGAGCTCTGCTCTGACCCATGATGGACAACCAGACATTGATGGCAGGGAACTTGCTGCAGAAATGCAAAAATGTTCCACATTTGCCATCAAAGAAGATGACAAACATGGAACTATTGACCTTCCTTCATGAGAAGAAGCTGACAGAAATGTACCCCAATTTGTGGGTTGCTCTGAGAATCTCTGCCACTCTTCCTGTTACAGTGGCTGCTGTTGAAAGAAGCTTCTCAAAGCTCAAACTGGTAAAAACGTACCTGAGAGCTTCTATGGGACAAGAACGTCTCAGTGGACTATCCATCATAAGCATCAACCATGTGGTCTCAAAACAGCTGTTTTATGATGATGTCATAGATCATTTTGCTTCAAGAAAGGCAAGGAGAGTCAGGCTAAGGTAAGGTGTTGAGGTGTGAGATTGAGGCCTGTAGTATTTTAATGGTTGGATTTTGGCTAAATCTTGCTTTTAACCAAGACTGAAGTGATTGATAGCAAATATTTCGCTACCCAGAAGTAGTATGTTTAAGTGTTCAGCAAAGCAGCTTTTGTTTTAAATTAGTAAATGTTTCTGGGTTGTACTTCTTACACATCCAGGTCTTAAGGTGAGGCAATTAGTCTCTCACGGACTGTATATCAGTACAGGTTGATTGTGTGCCTGTCAGCAGAGTAGCAACTTGTTGCCCTGTCTGACCTCAGCAGGGAGCAAGTGGAGGGGCCATGTGTGAATAGGCCTTTAGAAAACACTGGTGTGTTGGCGAGGCTGCTGACTGCAATTATAGGTTTTAATGTTGTGTTTGTGTTAAAAAATGTATCTCCCAAAAAACGTATACAGCTTTGGTCAGGGCCGGCCCTGCGACACACACCTGCAGACTCTGCACGT